GCATGACCCTCAGACTCAGGGGAACACAAGGAAACCGGACCCTCAGACTTAGGAGAACATGAAGGAATATGTGTGTGCATAGCCATTCGGTCCTCCTTAGGCACAGCACACAGAGCTCTCAGAGGGGACTCATCCAACCTCTCTGGTCATCGTGAGCCACTACCAGGAGGAAGAAAAGGTAAGAATGATAATTGTCAAGTGGACACTAAGTGTCCCTAAGCACATTTCATGCAGGGGCATGTGGTCCTGACTATAAGTCCCACCAGCCTGTCTCTGCCTCAGAGGGGCTCATTGTAGGGGACACACCAACCTTGCTGGGCAGGTCCTGTGGCTTCGTGCTAAGGTTCTCGGGCATTTCCCAGCAGCGTGTGGAGAGGTTCAGGATGGCTGTGGCGGCCATGTGTGCAGCCTCGGCATCATGCGCGTAGTCGAAGCCTGCAGAGGAGGATGAAGTGCAGGGGCTGTGCCTGGGGGAAGAGGCCCTTGGGAAAGGTTTGGCTGCAAAAAGGGAACAACACCAGGCTGATATACAACTTGAATGGGAAGTGGCCACACAGACACAGTGGGGAACTTTGGGATGCCTGGGAGTGCACAGGGCACAGCTATATGGAGGGCTAGGGGCAGGGTCATTCATCCCAGTCACAGGTACCCACAGCACACTCCTACTCACCCTCTCATAGGGCATTCAGGAGGCCATTTCTGGCTCATTTAAAATTTGGGCAGAGACCAGAGAGCAAAACCCTCCAAAGATATTCCAGCATCTCTGATATACCAAGCAAATACAAGTTGTCTATTGGTGAATGCTAACTGAGAGAGTAAAGAATTCTGTAAATAGGAGTGGGTAGAATATTATTCAAGTGGGAAAGTTTTTGTCACAACATCTCGAAAGGCTGCTTTTGGTGTCCCCATAATACCGCTTCAATAAAGTCATGTTATTATTCAAACAAACATGACCAATGAAGGCACAAAAAGTTATCTTTCTAGTAGTTATATTGTAGTCATAAACTAACTCTCAGGCATGACATTTCTGATATCAGTATCACCGGTAAATCTCCAGATCTACGAAGAGCTCCTGTGAGTGTTACGTGGTGCCTGCGCATAATGGCCCCGAAAAGTGGGACAGATGTCCACACTACAGCTCACCATCACAGAAGCCTGTCCACACCTGTGGGTGCCGCTCCCCGCCTGGCTGGTCTTCCTGCCCTGACCCCTGTGCTGTCCTCCCAGCCTCTGCTCCTCCCCTTGTCTCCGCGCTGACCACCCTCCTCCTCCC